ACAAATTCTCGAAAACCTGACCACGGTCCTTGGTCCTTGACGCCGGATGACAAATCAGAAAAACTACCTCTGCAGCCAGATTTAAGGAGATAAGCGACAAAAAAAAGTCAAGAACATGTTCATTAGCATTTCAGACCTATAGTAAAATAAATACGATAACAATCTATTAAAATTTTCACACAGTTCCTTAAGGGGATTGGGCAGAGAAAAGTCCGTCCGAACGAGCGATTTGTGATGAGCGAACAATAGGCAGACGACATCCGAGCTCCATTTACCCGCTAATTTTGTAAGCAGACGGCAGCAGGGACTACCTTAGATAAACACTTAATAATGTCGGAGAAGATGGAACAACAAACAGCTTGGGAACACCCGGGGGAAGGCAGAAGTTTTTCTACCCGTTCTCTATCATTGTCGCAGGACTTAACACTAGATAATTAGTACTTGCAGTGTTTTTGCTTTACCATTTGCATTTCGAATTTCATTTACTTGGTTTCGTTTTATATGTTTCGTGCTGGGTGGCAAGTTTATATGGATCTCAGTTTTACATCTTTTATTCATTTTTTTTTTCAATTGTATTTAATTAATACATGTATTGTTCCCCAACCCAATAATGGCAACAACGGAGCGTAGTCAAAATTTTACTTAGCCACCCAAGATCTGACTGTTCGGTTCATGCTTCATCACAGTGATTCCACGTCTGCCAAATGAGGTACGAGGGGTGTTAGAAAAGTTCGCGGACAAGTTCTATTGTCAGTGCGCTGTTTCCTCGAAACCGGTCAAACTTTGCAGATAAAATCCTAACCTATTTTCCAATAAATATACAAAAATTTGGTGCTCTCCGGTGATCATTGAAAAATATCCGGCTTTTTTATATTGATAAATCTTGCTTCACGGAGCATGCTCCATTTTGGCACGTTTACATTATAAAGACTCTTTATCAAAATTAAAAATTGCACAATTGTAGCAAAAAGAGATTTATGATATTTTACCTATCGCTAAAGTATTCATGAAACGTCACTTGGAGAAATTTTGAATTAAATTGGAGGGTATATGACTGTTTTATAGCCATTCATAAATGATCAACACGAAAAAACACAGCCAAAAATCGGAACGTCATTGAGCGTCATGGAGCACTGCATTACGTAAAAATTATGTGTGTAGACAGTAAAATGTCTAAAAAGAGATGAAAATTTTCTAGATTATGCCGGGTATTTCCTACATACACAAAGGACAAAAGTTTTCAAATGGTTGTGACTTCATAGAAATGGAAGGATTAAAAATTTGAATGATTAACTCCATCGATACTTCAATACCCTCTTATCGCATAGACGTTGTGCCTAATATGGTTTTGCATAGTTTTCATATCTGAAAAATTTACTGCATAGACGTTTTTAAAGATCTAAAAAATATCCTAATTAATACAATCCAAATTAGTACAAAATACATTATAGATGAAAGGTAGTCTTGATAAAGATATTCAATTTTAAAGTAGAAAAAAGATAAGAAAAATATGAGGAAATGAAAGATATAGAATTGCGTTATCCTTAACGGGTTGAAATCTGGTTGTCTCGTCGCCTTACGTCAAGGGATTGCTCCATGAATCCTATTACCTCATAAAAAAATCGTTGTATATTTTCAAGATTTTAGTAAATGGACCTGATTTTTTACATACTTATAAACAAAATGTAGGAATTTATTGAGACATAGGTCATACTTCACAGTACACAATAGATTTTCCGTAATTCAATGTGTCCGCGAACTTTTCTAACAACCCTCGTACATACATGTATACATGTAGAGCTAATATATGTATACATGTACACTAAATGTTTGAGTAGTTTTGCTTTTGTTTTGTAAACTAAAATTCTAAGGACCTCTCTTTATAGTAAAAATATTCACTAGATTAAAATGAAATTTCTGTCACTGACAGAAGTCATGACTCCTGGGTATCAAATTGCAACTTTTTCTATTTTTAGACCCTTTATCTCACAAGTTTTATATGTTTCTCTGGTTGTGGTTAAGAAAAAAATCCTTCATTCTCAGTGATTTTGACCTTGTCAAGATAACTTCTTTTCGTTTACTATTCTTCAAAGACTTTTCAATTTATTTAAGGTGTACGAATTTTTAGAATTATCCAAAACTTTGGATGTGAATATAAAAAGGATCTAAAGTAAATTTCTGATAAACAATCAATCAGAGTAAAAGATTTTCATTTAACGTATTTAAAATTATCATTTGGTGAACTTTTTCCTATCCTAGGGTCTTTTTACTGGACACAGGGAATTCAAAAACACACATTTTGTTGTCTCTGTTCTTTAAAAGAAAATAAGTTCAAAAAATATATATGAGATTTTTCCAGAATATGTTTTATTTTCAAAACAACATCCTGTCGAACTAAAAAATATATATATTTGTGTCGTAGTTAACGTTTCTTACTCACAATTAAGCTTCCTTAAATTAAGGATGTGGTTTGCCATTTCAAACTTCTAGACTTATCAATCCAAAACCCCCTTTCCCAGTGAAAACAAAATGTTAAAGACATACATGCAGTGCCATGTATGATGAAATATCTTGTTTTCTCTTTCAAAGGGACATTCACATATATTATTTTTGTTACATATATTCAAAATAAAATTTTGCATGCATTTTTACTTTGCACCATATCTGATTTACTTTCAGATGTCGAAGTTTTTATTCATTTAAGCCTTCAAAAGAATCAGTTGAGTAATCAAATTAAGATAGACCTTTACAGTTTACGTTTTGTTTTGACTGATAAGTTGAAACAATCACTTGTGATTTCCTTTACAGTAATTTTTAATGAAATTTTAAATTCTAAAAATACGTTGTCCATCAGCACAAGTCCCAAACATAGACGTCGCGCACGATACTGGTGTTACGTAACGTTACGCTTGTAACGTCAAAAAAGTTAATTGATGCGCAAATGCAACGTTATATTTTTACAATGTAACCTTTTAATTAATTTTTATTCTATAGCGTTTTTTTTTTAAATTCAGGGAGTGCGAGTTTTACTTCAAACTGATTGTTCAAGTCAAGTATCCGAATCTTTGTGAACAACATATATTTCACTGGGTCACAGTATGGGTCACTGAACAAATCCACGGCCGAGCAAGATCACAAACCAGGGGCTATGCCCCCACCCCGATCAATCACCGTGGGGTAACACAATCTGTTCGTGTCTTGATTTACGACCCTTAACTACACTACTGGAAACGATTATCATACAACGGGTGGCTTTAAGGCACCAATGCCCTAAAATTATGACATATTTGAAGGTATTTCTCCTTGTTGAACTGGGAAAAGTTTGTTTTTGATGTATGAAAATCGCAGCCGATCTTAACACGTCATGGCAAAAAAGGCGCTCACCCACAAAAATTATCTTTTATTGTGAAATTCAAGAACATAATCATTCTTCATTACCAATAATGAGGGGAAATAGAGAAGAGGAGAGTATTAATAGTTGAAAATCAGTAACCGGGTATGGGTTTAATCCTCCAATATCAATGCCGCTGTTGCCAAGATATTCGAATATCATTTTTTTTTACCATACTGCAGAGACCCTTAAAGAATACGTAAAGCAGACTTTCCTGTTTGTCTTAAATTTTGAAATGATGAACCCATAAAGCCAAAATGCATTAATATACCACATGCTACGTATTTTCTTTAAAAAGACACAAATTTTAGCATAACTAATTAAAGGCATTAAAAAAAGTTTGTATTTACAATTAATGAATGACAACCGCGGTTTGAAATCTTACTGATACTTCGTAAGCTGAAACCTAGTTCACATATACATGTCATATCGCAGAGTTCCGCTGTTGGTTAAAAAAAGCTTTAATGATTTTGAGGACAAGTGTACGTATGGTATTGCATACATATACTTTTCATTAAAGCCCTATGCTTAATACTTACACCAGTTAAACAAGACAAAATAAGATTTAGAAATTCCGTTTGATGAAAAATCGTCTTAATATATCTCATTACTGTATTACTAAATATTTATTGATCTAAATTCTTTTAATTGTTACATTCAAAGATAAAAATATTAAATAATATTCGAAAGGATAATTTAAAAATTGATTTTAATTTTATGATATTCAATGCATTTTCATTGTGTAAATCCTGATAAATATATTTTAAGCGAGGATATACCGGAAGTTAAGGGAATATTAAGATCAGGCATGGCTCGATTCATCCTATTTGAATAAGAATTCGCCCATTATTGAAAACACTTTCTTTTTCTACAATTTAATTTATTTCTTTTATAATTATTAATTATTAATTCCAAATAACGAATTTACCCTTACTTTGTTAATAAAAAAATATTCTACTAACTATGGTAATTAATACAGTGCATCCGTATACATTTGTGAGCCTTCATTTTAAATGCTTTGTTCTTTCATTCGTTGTTCAAATATATTAATGTTAAAATTCTCATTTATTAAAAAAAATGTCGCTGCATGTTTTGTGTCTTAAATTTCGCAGACCCTTATAATTCAGTACGATTACTTTCTACAATCACGAGACAGTATGCCAATGCATGCAAAATTATACTTTTGAAATCAGATAACATGCGCAGGTCTTTGAAAAATTATTAAACTAACTCAATATGGTCTGCAGTTTGGAGGAAGGAAACAGAATATAAAAGACGCCCGTTCATTAGATCCATTGTCGGACAACAGCTATATAACGTAACAATTACGTACAATACAATGGTTGAAAACATTTAAACTCTCGTAAATTTTATAACTTGTCTTTGAAAATGAAGGATATTTTATTTGGTTGTAATTTTCTGATAGAATCTACAAACACACTGCAAAGTAAAATGATTGTTAAACAATCGTTAATGAGTCGGATGGGTCGTAAAACACCCGTATCTGTCGTGCGAGACGATTTATGGTGACATGTCGCAAAAGGCATGTCATTGGACAGATTCTAGCAGAAGATAATTTGCGCTTTTAAAAATCCGCGCTAAATCAAACCTTGATATTCTGTGGCAGCCATCCTTGAATAATGGCATTGTTCTAAAGTGTTGGTAGCTTTCAGTCTCTCTGCTTCCGAGTCACTGCTATATATTTACAGTGCATAAAAGACTCATCAATTATGACAGTTTGAGTCTCCGTGTATTTTCGCTTAATCAATTAATGGCAGTAAACGCTTAAAGCTCAAACGTAAGAGGCCAGATATTACGCTAATGCCCTGAAATTATTGTTATTATCTCGGAACCATCAGCCAAAAGGTTCCATAGCGAAACAACACAGACAAAAAATGTCTTTTCAGAGAAGGAAGAAGTCCTTAAAAGAATGCACGAAGAGACATCCCAAATTTTGACGTACATCGATTCGAAATTTCTTTCATCCTATAATATCTATACATATATTTCTAATCCTACAATATCTTTACATGTATTTCTATAATTCCACCTATACATGTTGTACTCATAAATTTGGGTGTATACTTCCGACGACAAAATCTCTCAATATCTTAGCACAAACAGATCAATAGCCTTCCTTATCTCTCACAAAAAAGTAACTCAATAGCTGTCCACAGGTCGACATCGCCATTGTAATACTGAGGCTGTCCAACCTGGAATTGCAGCATGTTTATCAGGGGAAAAATCACCCAGTCTGTAAATCAGAAGGCACGACTTCAAACAGATCGCAGTGTTCGATTGAGATATCAAGTGCCGAGTCCTGTATAGCACTCTTTTGGGCTGACATAATACCCTGGATTAAGACTAGAAGGCCGATATATGCTGTAAACCAAAACTGTCTGAGATACAAACGCACAAGAACCTCAATGCACAACTTCAAAGGAATTAGCTGAAAACTAAACCGAAAATGCACCACACCATTGTGCAGCTATTACAGACTGTTTGGGCAAAACCAAGAGAATCGGTATACTGAGCGTGGCATTTTTGCAATTCATGGTCTCTGATTCAACAAAAAGTATTTTCGTGAATGCCGAATCAGCAACAAGCGTCAATCAAAACGAAGATTTCTGTCAAGCCTCTCCGAGACAACGACAACCTCTTCTTATCTTTGACAATCTGCACATCTGGAAGTAGTTCCTGATACAACATCAACTTCTTTTTTGTGTGGTCTGTTCGTTATTAAAATTTGTTTAAATGCATTTTTGCTGTAATTAAAACAAGTGTCAACTCTTTCAATCTTTAACCCTACGTATAATGCAATTGTAACACTATGTTTACTTCAAAAAAAAACTTTAGGTGATCATTACAATTTTGTTTCAATTTTTTTTTAATTATTTGTACAAAAACATACTGAAAATCTTTCATGAAGGAAAATCGTTCATCCAGAAAAATCATTCTTTCGTTTGCCCCTCTGTTGCCTTTAACTTCAAAATTTTTAAAAGATGGACCCTCACTCTGTGAATTTTTTTTTAAACATCTCACGGCAGGTTAAAAACTTCTCGTATTATTGTCGCGTGTTGTCCCGTTTATGATTTATGAAATGCGCTATAAAGTCTCGGGGAATAGATAGTTATAGCAGGCTCGTCGCGGGTGGTTCCAGTGCCCTGGCGCGCCAACAACAGTTAATCAACAAGATTTAATACGATATGCTTTTTCTGTCAAAAGCACGAAAATATATGTAAGGATTATAATTTTTTAGTGTATGTGAGCATAATTAACATTATCTTCCCTTTTTCTTTGATTTTTCTTAACATCAAGTTAAGTTTATTATTTGTATCTCGCATAAAACCTCTATCGTCTTGTAAACAACCACTGTAGATCAATTACCTACAACTCAAATTATTTTTCAATGTTTATAGTTTAATTTCATTGCTAGTTTAGAATATCATTAGACGGTCGGTAACAGTGATATTAGCTGTACATTTGGTGTACAAGAGCGTATTTACTCGGTAAGCATCAAAGAAGTTTAAATTTACAAATGTACAATCTCCTTCTAACAAAGTGCCATGTTAACATCGACTCCACAAGAGCGTATGTACTATTTTCTTTAATCTTTACATCGACTTGTTGTTTTTCAGCGACCTATAGCTGTCCAAACATCAGGCAAATACTATCCCAAGTTGTTTTCACCCAACTCCTTGCTGTAGAACTATAGTCCCGAAACATTGTTGAAAGGCCATGCATTGCCTATACATCAAACGGGTCTCTGACGAGAGTGTTGCTCTATTACTGGTTTGTAAACTTATGATAAAGGAAGATGCATCTTTGTGTAGTCTACTCTTGTATTAAGTATTACTTCAAAATCTATATATATAGGGAAGTGATGTTTTAAATAAAATTCCAAGAAACATATGCATAAGTTCATCTGGTATCTGACCAGTAGAACTAAAATTTTCTCACAGTAGTAATTCTGCAATTGAAGAATATTAATCCAGATTGGTAGCGAACCTTTATCTTCAATATCATAAAACTTTTTCTTAGTAACGCGTTAACGTTTAAAATGAAATAAACACTTGAATTACCCGTATTCCAAACATTTTATTGGAAAAGAAACGCTAATGCTCATATATAGTTTAATTCCGTTTTTTATGCTGAAATTAAACACTTCCTGATAAGAATCTGTAGTCCTCCGACCAATAAACTTTAATATGGCATCATCGGGGTCTTTTCCAAACAAGCCCATCTCCTGTAAGCTGCGAGACAACTGTCATTGTCTGCCTCCTCCTATAATGGAGCGGACGCGATCCTGGGCGTATGTACGCCATATATTTTAAGTGTCATCCGCCGTAAGGCGACCCTGCGTTAGTGACTTCGGATCGGGTTCGGTCTCTGATAAGATCTTGCGACAACAGTGCCAAGCCGCTTTATGAACACTAATCGACATATATATTGCAAAATATTAAAATACGATGGACCCAACACAGTGTTGACACATTATTTACGGTTCATAAAATGATGCATTTAATTTGAGATTTAAGGAAAAAAATCTTATCGTGTTTCTTGACAAATATACAATATGGATATAAAATTTCAACATTAATTTCCCCACAGACAGCAACCCTTCATAAAATTCAAATATTCGGAATTACCAGGATCCTTAGAAAAATTACAACAAATTTCAACACACATCTATTCGTTTGGCATGGAAAAATTATAACCGAAGACAATATATTTATTGAGAAGACTTAGGACTGGCGTCTTGGATACTACAAACAAAACGTTATGATGCTCAAGATCACAATCAATAAAAATCACAATTTTGTTTCATTTTCAGAAAGAACAAAGTATTTGTGACGTACTGACAGTTAAAAATGTATCTCATTTGCTGAACAAATGAATCTTAAAAACTTCCTCAATCAACGGAATCGCGAAGAGAGAACGAAAGCCAATTAGGAGTTACAGAATGTCTGTAGAAATAGCGAGCGCGGCTGACCATTTTCAGGCATGAAGGAGGGGAAGGCGCTGATGGCGGCTGACGTTCAGAAAGGCCTAGTCAGATCCAATTTTCCGTCAGAATGGTGACGAGTTCTACATTTCCGCATATAATATGCTTCAGACAACAATGGATTGATCTTCTCTACGTCAAAACTGTCTGCTCTATGCCATTTTAAAGACTTAAATTGGAACCTTTTGGAACCTTTCTTACAGACTTGAACAAAAATTTTTAAAGCGCTAAAGAGAAAGTATGCCAAGATCTCTAGCTTATTCTTGCAATTAAAATGAAGGAAAGCCATTACTGTGTAAGCATAGAGATGGACAATCTACCAACAAAAGTCACAATACAGTAAACTTGGAATGATTAGCTCTTATAATTCAAATAATAGACTATGGGTAAAGATATTAATCCAAATACTACACGTACATTGAAACGTACTTCTAGATTTTTTTGTAGGATATCCCAACTTTTCCACAAACATAAAGACATGCAATTAATAATATCCGACATGCCATCAACATAGGTTACTCTCAGCGCAACATCGTCTCAAAACACAGATGGACATTATATCATTTAGTGACATTTGTATTTTGCAACGAGTTGTAAATCCCGGGCATCAAACGATGTACAAAGAAGGACCGATTCGTTGCCTTTAATGAGCTACTTTGATTCAAAGGTAACAGCAGGCAATTCAGCAGTACATCAAACCCTTTCCTGTAGGGAACGACCTTTACTGACCCCCGAGAAATGTTCCTGTCAACCGTTCGTACAAGCTCCCTACCACAGGAAATACCTATTTATTGCCACCAAGTCAAGGGTTGCTTATATGATGTAACTCAGCCACAGTATTGCTCACTCGTCAATCTTAAAAATGTTTCTTTTTTTTTCATTTCCTCCAAGATATACAAATTTCCCTTAATCTTGAGCAATGAAATCCGCGATGCTATCAAAGGTTATCAAAAACAATTCATTAACAATTTCATATTATAAAAGATATTTTCCTGAAATAATGAGAATCGTGATAAAAACGTGGTTTTTAGACTAAGATAAAATGGGATGTTACTGCTTCGTCTGTACTGTTTCGACACGAGAGCAATGGTGCCATCACGCGCAATGGCCGACCTGAAGCTTCCGCCATGACTAGGTTTAACATCTTTTAAGTGTCTTTCTCCGATGACAGACACACAAAAATCTAATTTCTGAATGAAAAATATTGGAATAACGAACTTATCTTCGAAGCTTGTACGATTTATCTTGAAACGTTTATCACGCGGGTTGCTGCTATCAACGTCACATAGTCGTGATAAGCAAAGAGTTCTATGTGTCATTTAAAAGACACAAGCGGGTAATTCCTCCCAAATTCTTGTTTTTGTTATATTGTTACATATCTAGATAAGCATCCCGACTCTAAATATCTATCTTTTTATTTTTGTAAAATTGGTTAATTGCGTTAAGCGAGGTGCGGGTCAGCCATCTTTTCCCAACATCTGCTGACGATCTAGTGTCAAAGTGTGACATCATTACAATCAAAGTATATGTACGCATGTCACATGTCATGTTTTGTGGCCTAAAAAATGTGCATACACTAACTGACCCCTCTGAAGAACGGATTGTCTATACTTTTTAATTTTATATCTAAATATTTAAAGATGTAAGATTGAGAACTTTTATGTATATAGTTCGTGTTTGCATCAGACTTAAAAAAAAACATTTTTGTGTCTCTGGGCTAATTCCTTGCCAAAAGAAAAAAAATAATGACGTATCCATGTGTGCCTTTGACATATAAAAATTATTTCTGCAATAATGGCATTTTCAAAATATTTTATAGATTCACAATTAGAATGTCTCGTCTCTGACACCAATAAAACTGGGAGAAAGTCTTTGATATTCAGACAAGAGATTACACAATTTTATCCATAAAATTTTTACATGCCTCCTACGGTTGAATTTTAATCACATTTCCTTTAATGGCTGACGTTGTAGCTAAGAACCATAAGAAATTTACACGCCTAAAATAGTTAAATTACAGCACAGGAACATGGGGGAATCTAATACGAATGTACATCAAATAAAGCATTGTTTTGTGTGCATCAGAAGTCCAGTTTTTTGGTCAAAAATTGACAAAAAATAATGATATAACTGCAAAAGACAGAGCATATTATCTGCACCTAGAAATGCTCGTTTAATACTACCATCCTCTTTAACCAAAAGCCACAAAATCCTATATATTCTACCAACAAACAGGATGATTAAATGAAAAATTACTCAAATTAATAGCCTTTACTTAATGGGGAAGACATGGGAACAGAATATTAATGTGAAGTAGTAAAACTGGGGTCAAATGTTAAAATTTTACACTTAATTTTATGTCGTTTATCACACAAGATTACAAATATATGTACTTGAAAAATCCATGTTTACTTGTAGTTCTTGTTCTTATAGCTCTTCAACTACACTCAAATCTTGTATAAATCTGGAACTTGATGGGATCAAGAACAAATTTTCAGATACCCCATGATTTGTTACATGTATTGAGGATAAAATATTCAAGGAAAAATTGGTTGGGACCTCAAATTTACTTCAAATATCCATGGATTTAAGATACATTGTATATCATTAAATACCAAAGTTCAGTTGTATCAATATATGATACTTTTCAATACATGACCAAATTAGCTGCAACCTTAAGGGTTAGAACAAGGGTCATATATAATTTTTTATATTTTTG